TTTTTATTATTGAATTTATTGGGGTCACATTGGCTGACTACGCAAGTCTCAAGTACACAGCTGCCTCCTGTCGTCTGTGCCCCCGCCGCGTGCCCGCCGCCCCGGGCCGAGTCTCCTCCGCCTCCGCGGATCCGAGCCCTTCCCTCTGGGCACCGCCACGCCGCCGTCTGTGCCTGTGGGTTTTCACTTGTTTGCTCGTCCTGTTCGTTTGTTTCAGTTTTATATCCCACACACGAGTGAAATCATAATGGTTCTTGACTCTTCTGGCTCATTTCGCTTTAGCAGGAGAGGCCCCCGACCCCTCCCAGTTGTCGCAAATGTCAGTATTTCCCCACTTTTTAGGGCTCAGGCACAGTTGCCTGTGTCTATGCACCGCACATTCTTGTTTAAAATATAATGTGTTCCTGAAACTGTATAAAAAAGAAAAATAATTCCATTTTTTAAGTAGGAAAAATCATGTGTGTTCTGTCCCAAACAAGGCTAACTAAATAATTTTCACGAGTAGGAATGTAGATTCACTGAACAGCCAAACGAACTCACGTGTATGGTAAATAACAGCTTGGAAGTAAAGAAATCGTACATAAAATTAAGGGTCATCAATGTCCATTGTACCAACATTTTCCCTTTTCCTAGAGATTTTTGTTTTTGTTTTTCAAAACCCACCCTTTGGATGCCCAGCTCTCCCCCACTCAGGCGGCCCCTCAGCAAGAAGTGACCGCCCAGAAAACCCCATGGGCATGTGGCAGGCAGAGGGCGCAGCGCCGCGGCCTGGGGACCACGAGGGCGGCGCGTCCCGCCCCGCGCACGGCCTCGCTCCGCGGGGGCCCCGCGTGCCGTCCTCTCAGGGAAGTCACCAGAGGTCGGCGGCCGGGGCGGCGCCAGGGAGCTGGCCCACAGAGACCCTGAGTGTCCCTCCAGGCCACGCTGCTCCGCGGCCCAAAAGCCCCCAGTGACACCCAGACTGACGGGGCGAGACCTGTGTGCGACGCCGAAGCGCAGAGGCCCCGGGAGGGGCCCGCCCACCTGCGGGGGCGGCACCGGCCACACGCAGACCCTGCCGCCGCCCCTGCGCTCCGGCCCCCGGAGGCCTCGGGCTCCGCGGGTGAGAGCCTCCCGCGACTCGCCGCCAGCTCTGGGCCTGACGGCGTGAGAGCCCCGAGGACCAGCTGTCCTGTCGCTTCCGCCGTCGCTGCCCCCGCGTCCCCGCCGCCCCAGCCTGTCCTGGCTCCCGGCCCGTGCGCCGCACGGAAGGTTTTAGCCGCGGGAGCACCGCGCCCAGAGGATGCGGAGAACCCAGCGCATTCCCTGTCCCTGATACCACCACGCGCGGGGCCTCGTTCCGTGTCTGGCCAGACTCAGGGACAGCGAGTCCTGGAAGGCGGTCGCCCTGACACAGCCGCCCGGGGCCCAGGGGCCCAGGGGTCGGAAAATGAGTGTATTTCAACGAATGACCCCCAAAACGCCGAATGTATGGAAAAATGCATCCCGTTTTCATGCCTGACATCTAAGCATCGCTAAGTTACACGTATTTGTTTCATGAGTGAAATGGGCATCAAGCACCGCCCCGCCTCGCCCAGCAGCTGCCCCATCCCCCCAAATCACTCCCCCTACTCCCGTTTCTGACTTTTCAGAGGCTCCTGGCTTGACAGGGGAGCGGGGAGGTCCAGCCCCAGCCGCTCCCCACGCCGGGGCGGAGGGCCCTTCCGCTCCTGTTGCTTCGCTGTCTGACTCGCTCTCTGGTCTCGGCCGCACATGCGCGTTTGTCCCGGACCCCTCTGCCCCGCGCTGCTCTCTCGTTCTCTCAGGTGCCTCCAGAGCCGTCGGGGCTGCGGGGAGACCCCTCGGTCGCCGGTGCCCCCGCGGGCCCCTCCCGGGGATGGAGCGGGTTCCACGCCACGTCACAGCCTGACGTGCGTGCCCCTGCGGCCCCGGTGGGAAGGCGGGCCCCGCGGTGCAGCGGCGGCTGATGAGGGTCCCGCCTGCGGCTACGTTTCTCGGAACCTTTCCCGTGACACTTGCTAACCCTCACGGCTTCGCTCTGGTGCCCTTCGACAGTGGGAGGCGGCGGGAGGGCCCAAAACAGGGGTCGCCCTGAGAGTGGCCGCCGGCGCGCTCACCTCCCGGGACAGGACACGGCCCATCCCCCGCTGGGCTTTCTCCCCCCGCCCTGCGTAGAAATCCTCCTTTTTTTAAAAAAGGGAGAGAGATTCATTTATAGAAAACCTTTTTACAATTTATTCTCTGTTATTAATCTTTAAAGTATAAACACGAAACTCTAGCTAAATGTAGGGTGTCTGTGCCGAAATGTTGACCATGTGAACAAATAAATAAATATTTACAGTCTTTGGCAAAACAGATGGTGTTTCATCACTCTGTACGAGAGATCTGTTTAAAGAAACATAAATAATTTACAGAAACTATGGTACATTCTAAACATTCACATCACCCCGCACCGTGTCCTTCGGCCCAGGTGGCCAACACAGAGCACGCGCACCCACTGGCCTCGCGTGGAACGGCGTCTCCAGCCCTGTTGGCTCGGGGAGATGGGCCCCCACAAAAAGCAAGAAGTGCAGCAGAACAAAAGACATCGACCTCAAAAAAGCAACGAACGTAACTTTATCTAATGAAATGTGAGAGCTCAGACAAAAATTATGGGTTCTCTCTATTTGACACCAAAACAAGATCTCTAATCATCGAATGGAAAGATTTGCCCCCAGACAAGGCTGGCTTCTCTGATGAAACCCCCGCAGAGAGATCACGTGGCAGAAAGCAGAATGCACCACGCCCAGCGACGGGGCGGATGGTGCGCGGGGCCCTAGGGTCAGTGCGGCCGGCCGCCTCGGCCGACAGCAACAGAGCGCCCTCCCTATGGCGGATCGGCCACAGGAAGGAGCGCAGGAGAGAAGTCATCGGCAGGAGCATGTGCATTAAGGTTCCATTGTAAACTCTCGTCGCCATTTATTTCTCCACCTCACTTGGCAGTGTGCTCTATTCCGACAGCATAGATTATACAGCCTGGTGCTTCTGACAGGAAGACCTCTTGCTGGAACCGTCTCTGTATTATTCTACACCTGCTACGTGTCTATTTCTAGAAATCACACTGCATGTGTGGTCCTAGGCAGAGCTAAAATAAGTTATTGTGGAAAGGAACTGTGTTCTCTGTTCTTTCAATAAATATCAGCACAGCACCTATAACTGGAACCTTAATGACACGTGTTACCAAGCTGGGTCAAGGCCGCGTCTCCAGGTTTCAGCGCCCAGACGGGAGCCCGGCACCCACGCACCTGGCCGATGGGCCCCTCCTCTGCACATCTGGTCCCTCGGAAACTTCCGAGAGAGCTGGGGGGTGGGCGCCACTCTCCGTGGGACGGGTGCCCAGAGGTGGCCTCGCCAGGTCCCCGTCTGACCCACGTCCCAGCCGTTTAGCGGGACGTCCCTTCTTGGAGGAAGCCCGTCTCTGCCGAGTGGGGGGCTCTCATGGCATGGGGGATAGGGGCTTCCGCCTGTCCTCGGGGCCACTTTTGAGGCCCCACTGAGCTCACTGGCCTCTCGTGCCTGTGCCCGCACTTGCCCGGCCTCGCCCCTGCAAGCATCGCTTGAGACTCGGGTGGAGCCGTGTTCCCAAGGGACCTCACGAGACGCGTCCCCGCGGAGCTGCTCCAACCCGGGAGCAGGCGGTGGAAGTCGTGGTGACATCGTCCGTTTAAGGCCTGGTGACGCCTCACGCACGACACCCCCTCAGCGCCACATACACGTAAGTACAGAAAGGAACTGCGTTTTATACGTAAACATCATCATTCTTTTGAGACAAACAAGAAGAAACAACGCCGTGTCGTGTCGGCGGTCACTCCACGCACAGTCTCCTGCATCATCGCCGCTCCCATCGCTGGCCGGGCATTCGCCAGGGGTCCCGCTGGAGTGCGTCCTCTGAGGGCCGGGGCCGACGGCAGCAGGGGAAGGGCCGCCCGCGGTGCAGGGCGAGGACGGATGGCGCTGCTAAAGCGAGAGAAGCCAGCGGGCGAGGACGGACGGCGTCGGGGGCCAGCGCCTGCAGCGCACGCGGGAGGCGCAGACGGTCGGGGGTCACACGTCTGCAAGAGACAGCGAGCAGTCTGGGGAGGGGCCGCAGCCTCGCGCAGTTACTTTACCTGCGCCCAAAATCTCATTTTGATTAAAAAAAGACATCATAGCCCCAGCTGCCGTGGCTCAGAGGATCAAGCGCTGGCCTGCGAGCCAAAGGGTCGCTGGTTCGATTCCCGGTCAGGGCACAGGCCTGGGTTGCGCCAGGTCCCCAGCAGGGGGCACACGAGAGGCAACCACACAGGGATGTGTCTCTTCCTCTCTCCCTCCCTCCCTTCCTCTCTGCCTAAATCAATACAGAAAGTCTGTTTTAGAGAAATAACATCACAGTGTGGTTGGATGGGTGCGTGGATGCACACGTACATGCGTGGAAGGAGGGAGGGAGGGACCAACATCCAGAAAGCCCGCCCAGCAGGAGGGAAAGGTGACCACCAGGTGCAGGAGGTGCCTCGAGATCGTGGCGCTCCCTGTACACCTGCACTGGAGCCCGGCTCTCGTGGGCAGGGGTGGCGGAAGGCGCCGCCTCATCTGCACAGGGGGCGGGGCCCAGTCCGCACGCAGGCGGGCTCAGGCCGGAGGGAGCGGGTGCCCTCGGGTGTGCAAGCATTTGACTCCGACGCCCCCGTGAGAGCTGAGTGAGCCCCTCCTTTCTCCCTTCCTGTCACGGGCTGACCATCAGAAGCTCCGTGAGGGGCTGAAGGCGTGGAAGGCCCAGGAAGCCACGGAACAGCGCACCGTGCAGAGGCGCGGCTCCCGAGAGAGACCGCAAAGCGTCTGTCCAACCAAAGGCACCCGCACTCAACCTAAGACAAATGAAACGGAAACAAACCCCCCCAGGACGCGCCGCCGGCTCGCTGTCCGGCTGCGGCGCCCCCCAGGAATGGACGGCAGGGCCCCCGACGCTGCGCTGGACGCGCCTCTCACCCACCTCTGCATTCGTACTTGAGGTCGGAGAAGTAGACCATTTCTTGGGAGAAGACAAACAGGCCCAGCCGCCCACCGGCGTAGGTGTGGTCGTAGATGGGCCCTGAGTCCGCCATGACCTGCTTCCCTTCGTGCACCAAGACCCTGCAGGTGGGAAAAGGAGAAGGAAGAGACCATGGACCCTGGGGAGCACGTTCAGGGGAGGAGGAATCTCGCTGGCCCGCAGGGCCCCCCGTTGCCCCGGCCCCCTCCCCCGAACTCCCGACCCCACAGCCCCCGGGCCGGCGGCTTCGGTGGCCTCTGCCCTTCGGAGCCCAGCAGCCGGGGGGCCAGCAGCCTCCCCCCAGGCCCCTCCCTGTGACAGCGACTCCCCCTCTCCCAGGCCTGCCTGTCAGCCGCGCGCTCTCTGCTATATCCCCTCTAACTGCGAACCCCAGGAAAGCCAGGAGAGGCTCCACCAATGCGCAGGGGTGGGGCGGGCGCCCCACAGCCTCCCTCCTGGGCGGAGGGAGGGAGGGGGCAGTGAGCGGGGAGGCGCCGCGGGAACAGGGCCCCGGCAGCGGGTCACAGGCCCCGCCTGTCCCTGGTTACGGCAAGGCTCCCGCGCGGGGCGTCTGCCGAGACGCCCACTGCACCGTGTGCTTGTCAGCGAGGCCTGGCTTTGCGAGGACGCTCCAGTCCACATCGCCATGTTTTGTGTCACTCAAAACCCGTCACAAGTGCCATCACGTGAGGGGACGGGGTCCTGCGGGACCGACGTCTGTGCACATCACGTGCACACGTGCTTTTTAAACGGAGCCGTTCGTTCACGTGTCAGAGACACACGCGGCTGCTCCCTGAGCGGCGCGCAGGCCAACTCAGCGCCCGCTGGGCACTTAACCGCCCGCCGTCCGTCCCCCATGTCATTCTAGGAGGACAAGTCGATTTTCTCTGTTTTCTTTTCTGTTTTAAATCAAGGACCAGCAGTAGGGGATTCGGGACAGAAAAGAGAAAGGATTTGAAGTGGGAAAAGCCCAGAGCAACCGCAGGATGGAACTCGCGTGGGCTCGTCCTCGCTCCTGTCCGGCCCGGCCGGCCGATGGAAGCGCCGTCTCCGGCGTGAGCACCGCTGGGCAATCGCTGGGGGCCCAGGGGACGTGCGCTCACCGTATGTAGCCCGTCTTCGGCCTGTGGGTCAGGTGCCACCTGTAGGCAGTGTAGTCTTTCCAGCCGATGTGTTTGGGGTCGTGCCACAGGGTCCGAACCTGAGGGGAGAACGCCCGCGTGACGCCGTCGGCGCTGAGTCCTCAGCGCAGGTCCGGACACCGGGCTGACTCCAGCGGTTTGCTCTGCCGACTGACGCCTACGGCTCACGCCCACATGCGAACGGCGAGTGCGGGTAAAGCCCCGACGGGAAGGGGCGCGCGGCGCCAGGGGCAGTCGCCGAGCGGACGCTGGACCCCCTGCTTCCCGAGCTGGGGCCCTGGAGCGATCCCTGTGCTTCCTAAGCCCGATCCCTCGTCTCTAGCAGAGGACAGAGGTATGTGTGATCTGCGCCAGGACCGCCAATCGCGTTCATAGAAGGGCCAGTCCGGCGCATTCAGTCGGGGGAGACCCAACGGCTGTCCCCCGAGCGACAAGGGACAAAACCCTGGGGGAGGATGGGCCGCGCCCGAGCCGCGCCCGAGCCGCACCTGGCCGGCCGTGTTCCCGGTGTGCCACAGCGCGTTCCGCAGGTGCTCGCCGGTGCCCGTGGTGGAGTTGACCACCTTGAGGGACACGCCTGAGTAGCCATAGGCATGTGTGGGCTGGTTCTCCCAGTACGTCTGGGTCACCTGCTTCCACATGACCACGTAGAAGCGGCTGCTGGACTGGTAGCCGAAGACAAAGCCAGCGTAGTCGTCGTCCCGGTCGGTGTTAACGTAGAATGTGCCGCTGAAGTCCACCGACACAAACTCGTCGAAACCTGGGCGCCAGGGCAGCAGCGGCCGTGAGACGCGGACAGCCCAGACCACCCCCGGGGGCCCCGCGGGGCCATGCTCCCCGCCCAGCTTGGGGTCTGTCACTGGGACGCTAACAAAAGGAACGGACTTCGCGTCCAGCCCAGGGAGCTGGGGCACAGGGCCGCTGCCCCGTGCGAGAGTTTGCAACCCAAGTTCATAAAATAACGCAGCAGGTGGCTTCCTGACAGTGACGCTTCCAAGGCTCAGGAGAGGCCGACGAGGCAGGAGGCTTACAGGCCGTGGATGGGCGGGGCCCCCAGGAGGGCCCACGCACCCTCCCCGGGACGCAAAGGGCAGCCGGCCCGGGCCCAGCGGCGGGGGGCATGCGGTTCGGGGGGCTCACCCACAGCGATGCCGGGGTCGGAGTTCGCCGTCTGCACCAGCTCCTTGCCCTGGTGGCGGATGACCCAGGTGGGGTCGATCTGAGTGGTGCCCTTGGGGTCCAAGTGGACCATCTGGAAGTTCCTGAAGTCGGTCTCGCTGATGGCGTGGTTCTCGGGACACACGTCGTCGATGTCCGGGACGCTGTCGTTGTCGAAGTCGTCCTTGCACGCGTCTCCCCGCCCGTCACCTGTCAGCGCGGACAAGCAGGGACACCGGAAAGCGGGGCACGGCTTGCCCCCCGCCCCGTGTCTGAGGACACTGAGCTCGCGATCCCCCGGAAACCCCGGGAGGCGGCGTGTGCTTCGCAGTGAGTGCCTGTCGCCCTGCAGCGCGGAGCCCGCGGCTGCGGTGACGCCCGCCCGTGTTGCCGACCCCCGGGGCCTCGCCGGGCTCTGCGCGAGGCCTGAGGCGGCCGCCCGAACACCGTGTCTGCATTGGAGTGCTTCCCGGAACCGCCCTCGCCCCCCGGCCGGCCCCCCGACCCACCGTCCGCGTCCTCCTGGCCGGCGTTGGGGACGAGCCGGCAGTTGTCCCTGTCGTCCGGCACCCCGTCGCTGTCGTCGTCCGCGTCGCAGGCGTCGCCCTGGCCGTCGCGGTCGTGGTCGGCCTGGTTGGCGTTGGCGATGTAGGGGCAGTTGTCCTGGCTGTTCTGGTGGCCGTCGTCGTCGATGTCCTCGTTGTTGTCACACTGGTCCCCCACGAGGTCGTTGTCCACGTCGGTCTGGGGGGCAGAGCGTGGGGACAGCGGGGCTGAGCCTCGTCCAGGGAGTGGGTGCCGGGCCGGGCCGCCTGGCGGGTCCGGGACACTGTGTGGCCCCCTGTGGGTCCGTGTCTTTCCCGTGGACGCGGGCGGCTCCCCGGGGCCTGCACACAGCGGGGGGCGGGGGCAGGCCTCCCACTCCTGCTCCCTCCCTGCGGGTTCCTGCCCTGAGGGGGGAGGGAGCCGACGACCCGGAATCCCGTCCCTGCGTGACATCATCCCGCGCAAGGCACAGGGCCAAGGCAGGTCACCACTGCGCGTATGGGAAACAACACAACAGCCGACAAATCGCCACACGAGAAGAAACCACCGCACGTACGCGCAACGGCAAACCCACCCTTGCCCACCCGGCGCTGGGTGACCCGCAGCCCCATCCCGTGTCTTCCAAAGGCAGCGCTGGACCGAGTCAGGGACACGCAGAGGTGACTCAGTGGAGACAGTGTCCCCTCGGGCCGGGCGGCAGAGCCTCTGTGCGTCTGGACAGTGGCCCCCGAGATGAAAGGGTCATGTTTGCAGTTTGGCTCAGGAAATGCTTCCAATTAAAATGGCTGAGGAGCCCGTGCCGTCACGTGTGGGCAGCGCCGTGGAAACCCGCGAGGCCGTGTCGGCCGGTGGCTGGCCAGGCCCCGCCCCTCCCACGCGCAGGCCCGCAGCCCGGGTACCTGGTCGGGGTTGTGCACCAGGGGGCAGTTGTCGCAGTGGTCGCCCACGCCGTCGCCGTCTGTGTCTCTCTGGTCGGTGTTGTAGACGTAGGGACAGTTGTCTCGCTCATTGAAGACGTCTGCGGGATTCGAGGGGGAAGGGAAGGCCGCGAGCTTGGCAAAGGCACACCGCGTCCCCGACACGTTAAACAAGTAACCGACAGCGGAGCATCAGCTTAACCGAAATGACCTGGAAACGTGGCACGATGCGAACAGAACCAGATTCATGGAGGAACACGTGTGGGCTTCCCTGTTAACATTCAAATTGCCTCCGTTTTAAATAGAACCAGCTCTCGGCATTTTCTGGACAAGGCCACCGAGCGGGTTGCCGAGTGTCAGCAGGCGGGTCTGAGCCGCTGTGAGGCTCTGGGAAGGTCCCCTCAGAGAGCGTGGCCGGGGCTGGGGCGTGGTCGGCGCACGGCCCTGCGGCCGGCACCCACCGCACATGGGCGGGAAAAGAGCGGCGGTGGGCTCGCGGGGCGTTTGGGGGCACTTACCGTCTCGTTTCAAGAAACCTGGGGCAGGTCACGAACTCCCCTGGGACTCGAGTCATGGAAAGACACGGACCCACAGGGGGCCACACAGCAAACCCCCCAAGCCATGGGTCAGAGGAAAAGGGCAAGGCGGGCGGGGGCTTGGGAAGGAGCAGGGTCAGCCGGGCCCAGGGCTGGCACGGCAGGACCCTGAGGCCGCCGGGCCTGGGGGAGGTGCCCAGAGAGAGGCAGGCCAGACGCTGTCCCGGAGCCAGGACGCCGGTCTGCCACACAAGTTGTCCCAGGGAGCAGGCTGGCAGGGGTAGGCCGCGTGGTGTGCCCGAGGCTGTGGCCCGGCTGTGCGCCTAGGTCGGGGGCTGGTCCCCAGGCACCGGGGCCTCAGGTGCAAGGCCAGCCTAGTGGCATCCAAGGTTCCCATCCCGGGACACCTGGAAGCTGGGGACCTCGCAATGAACGATCAAAGAATGGAAAGAAAAAGGTCCCAGATGCATATGCCCCAAAGAGGCAAAGGCTGGCACCGGACCTGCCTCTGCGCAGTGTAGCAAAGGGAAAGCTGGGCCCTCAGAGCTCTGGACGGCCATGCGTGAGAGCGGACGCCGGGATGGACACCAGGCCAGCACCCAAGGGTCACCGGCTGTCGCGGTCTGCGGGCGGCCCTGCGGTAGGCACCCCTTCACCGCCTGCTCGCCGCTGCACAGGAAAAGGCGGGCCAGCCGCTGGGCTCCGCGACGACGGCCTGGGGAACCGTCTGACCTCGTGCTACTGTGCAGGTGGCGCCAGGCGTACCCAACAAGCACCGGACAACAGTGCCCCTGTGCTTCTCACTGGACCGTAACCGTCTGCCGAAGGAGCCACACTGACCGTCCCCGTCGATGTCCACGGAGCACGCGTCTCCCTCGCCGTTGTGGTCCGTGTCGATCTGGGCAGGGTTGTGCACGTAGGGGCAGTTGTCGCAGCGGTCCCCAACCTCGTCCTTGTCGTGGTCGAACTGGCGCGGGTTGAAGAGGAGCCGGCAATTGTCCTGTCAAAAGAGCAGGGGAGGGCGTGGGACACGGCGCGGGAACACCAGCCACGCTGCTCATCTGCGGATGCCACACGCTCCACACAGACGAGAGTCGCTGACACTGGGCCCAGGGAAGCAGGCCCGGAAGTCCAGCCCAGCGCGCTCCCCATGCCAGGTCACTTTCCAATGACACATGTGCCTGCCCATCAGGGATGTTGGGATTTTCTGCAGCAGCATCAACGCACCACACGCTCCATGGTGAAGACAGGTATGTGCGTGCCCAGCGCGAGCGAGTGAACGAAGGGGTCGATGGCCCAGGGCTTGCCAGGCGCAGGCAAAGCCGGCTGGCCCTGGGCTGGGCACTGATGTCGACTCACTCACCTTTCTAACAGTTTTCTCAGGAAACGGCACTACCTTGATATTGCCATGAAGGCACTTGGGCCACTGTTTCAGGGACAGCCCTACCCGCTGGTAGAAGGGCCAGCACATCCCTTTTGTGCCATGAAGAGCAAACTGATAAAGGGCTCCTCGTAGAGCAGCCACTGCTCCGGCCAGTCCCTTCCACCTGCGAAGGACCAGCGTCCTTCCCGGGCGACTTCAGAGCGACTCAGGCAGGGCACCCAGCACAGCTAGTCATAGTGACTGTTTAGTCCGAGCGCCCATTGCTGACCCCTCTGCTCCTGAACCCCAGACCTGGGGCTCAGATGGCCCTGCCCCCTGCCCTCTGCCCCCTGCCCTCTGCCCCCCTGCCCTCCAACTCCCGCCCTCCGACCTTCTCGTCGCTGACACCGTCATTGTCGTCATCATCATCGCAGGCGTCACCAATGCCGTCCTTGTCAAAATCTTCCTGCCCCGAGTTGGGCAGCAGAGGGCAGTTGTCCTGCGATCAGAGGACGCGTGGTTAGGGATGTGTCCCTGGGAGCCCTGTGCTCAGGAGGGTGGCAGCTACAGCTGTGGGGACGGCGGGGAGGTTGGCGTCGCACGCCCGGCCCCATGGAGTGCGGAGCGAGAAGGCACAAGAGTCCCCTCTCCGGGGCTGCCCAGGAAGCCGTGTCACGGCCCCCGTGGGGACGAGGCAAAGGCGCTGGGCCGGGAGCCCAGGGCCCGGGGAGGCAGCCAAACGCCTGGTGCGAGACCATCGTCTCAGACATGCAGACAAGGACGGAGCCTTTGAAGTCCCCTCTCCTCTCCGTGGCCTTCACCTCGCCCACTAGAAGCCCCAGCTCCCACCGCATCAACCCCCATGAGCCAGGGGCCAGAGCGGGGCCGTGCCCGGCTGCTTGGAGCTCCAGGCTCCAACTCTGAGGCGCTGCCCCAGCTCATCCCGTCCAGGGAGCAGGTCGCTCACAAAACAACGCCACAAACTGTGGTGTAAGTCAGACGATGCCCAGACGCCAGCCTCGCGAAGGACTGGAGACGCCCAGAGCAGATGGCGGGCGGCGAAGCCAGCGTTTCCATTACAGCGACATAAGCCGGCAGTCGCCGAGGGGCCCAGCATGGACCACACGGGCCTGCGTCTCCATGGAGGCCGGGCCCTGGGGCCACCGAGAACCCCAGGTGGTGAGTGTTGAGGGCGAGGGGGCTGCCCGTGGCACCTGTGTGGCTGATGCACGAGGAACCTCGCAGGTCGGGGGCGCGGCTTCCGTTCGCAGCCTTGCTTTGGCACCGATTTACCCTCATAAGATACCCTTATAAAGATATTGTGATGTGCCATTTTTTAAGTGACTAAATTCATGTCTGAAATTCCACAAAAGTGAAAAAAAGTACAGTGTCCTGTGGCATCTCAGTGTCACGGGTCCGTCTATTACTTGTGCCGTGACGCCCAGGCCGCGGCCGACCCTTAACAGAAACATCGCCAACGGTCACTTGCGCAAGTGTCCCCTCCGGGCAGGCCTGCCAGGTTGCACAGCCGAGCTCGCAGGGCGCGGAGGCAGGGTGCGGGGCTGGGGAGAGGGGCACGCCCGGGCACCTCAGAGCCGGCCGCCTGGGCCTCCGTCCACACCTGCTGCTTTTCACCAAGACGGACCAAAGGAGAAAACAGCCATGAAAACGTGACTCACGCTGTGAGAATGAACCAGCATAAATACTATGTAGACGGAGCTACTTAATATTTGCAAGTGATACTTCTTGCACGCTTGTATCGCTCACATTTCTGACACAAATGAACACATATGTGGTCTTAATTTGTTCACTGTTCGTTCACTCTTAAGACACAAGCAGCAGCGCAGGCAGGGCGCTGGGCTGGGGAGGGGACACCTTGCACAGCAGACCCGGCAGCGGTTCCCAAACACGTGCCGCGTCCCGACCCCTGGGGCCTGTAAATGGCCCTCTGTCTGGCACACAAGCGAGCGTCCTCTCGGGGCTGAAGGCGCGCGGGGCCGGGCGCCGGGAGACGGGGAGTCTCTCTGGAGCGTCCAGGCTGACCCTCCCCAGAGCGAGGCCAGGGCATGACAGACACCCTGAGTCCAGGGCAGAGGGGGGCAGCCCGCGCCGCCCTGGGACCACCCGCGGCTGGAAGCCGCTCTGGAGCAAGCGAGTGCCCGCTGACACGGTGACCTCAGACCCCCAGCCCTGGGCTGTGTGAGGCCAAGTCCCTGCGGTGTCCGGCCCCCGCCCACAGTCACTCGCTCCAGCCGCCCCCAGACAGCAAGCGGTCACGTGTCAGAGACGGCACGGACGCCCCGCCCCGGCAGCCTCACCTTGACGCAGTGGTAGGTGGCATTGGTGGCGCAAACCAGGTTCTTGTTGGGCCACCCGTCCAGGTCCGAGTCCTCCCCGCAGATGAGCCCGTCGCCTGCGTAGCCCGTCTGGCACTCGCACTTGTACATGGGGTCGCTGAAGTGGCCCAGGTAGATGCACTCCGCGTGCCGGTGGCAGCTGTGGGTCTTGTCCTTGCAGGGGTTCTCGGGCTCACACACCTAGAAGGGCCACACCCGACGCAGGGCCTGAGGCCACGTGCTCAGGGCTGCGGCACCGCCGGGGGCCCTTCCCAGGAGGGGGCCCTCCCCGGGGCTGCACCCAGGGACTCGGTGCCTGCGGGAGCCTCCTGCCCGCAGCTCAGTGGCTCCACGTGTGCGGCCAGCACGCGTCTGAGCCCCCGCTGACCACATGGAGCTGCAGACTCGCGAGAACCTGAGGCCGGGCCCTCGGGGATCCTGAGCCTGGCGCCTGAGCGTAGCTCCCTGACCAGGTTGGGCGTGACGGCAGACGGACGGTCCCCTCCTGTCTCTGCCCCCAGAACGTTGCCCTGTCCCTCCTGTCTCCCACCTGCCCTTCCCCCAGATGCCAGCGGATGGTTGGAAGCCGGAAGCCCTGCAAAGGGCCGCCGCTCACCTGCTTTCCCGTCTGAGCCGCCTCGAGGCCGACCCCAAAGGGCTGGGTCCCCCTGTAGCGTGGGGGGCAGGGCAGGCAGTGGAACCCGGGATCCGTGTTGACGCAGCGGCTGGCCTTGCTGGCCGTGGAGAAGCAGGCGTCGGCGACCAGCGCGCACTGTGGGGACGGCAGATGTGAGTCCGCCATGCCCGCCAGCCCCGCCGCCGCGACCCCCGCCGGGCGGCCACCCACCTCGTCCAGGTCCTCGCAGTGGGTCCCGTTGCCCAGGAAGCCCACTGGGCAGGCACCGCAGGACCAGGAGCCGTCGGGGAAGCTGCTGCACTCGGTGCCCGGGAAGCAGGGGTTGGACAAGCAGCCATCTGCACGGGGGGGGGGGGCGGAGAGGTCAAGGCCGCGGCCGCCGGGCAGCCGCCCCGAGCTGGGCGCCATGGCGACACAGGAAGGCCCTAGCCGCGCCCCAAGGTCCCACGGTGCCATCAGACTCCACAGGCAGTTGCAGGCAAACCCAGTGGATGGGGAACGTGAGGTACAGAGGGTCTCGGCACACGGGCACCAGAGGCCCCCACCCCCTGCAGAGCTGCCAGCCGCGGGCTGGGCTCGCCGTGGGTCACCGGCCCCGTGCGCACAGCGCTCCACCTGCTGCTCGGGAAAGTGCAGGGGCCGGCATGGTTCATTCCATGAGCCGACAGTGGATCTTTCCTTCTCTGTGGGCTTAGCAGTTTCCACCATTAACGAGGAGGAAAGCCCAAAGGCCACTTCCCAGATGCCCGTGGCTGCAGGGACAGAGCACGGGGTCGGCGCGGCGCCTCGTGGCCCGAGGGCCCGCACCCCGCGGACACGCACCTATGGGGCAACTCCTCTTCTTGCACATCTGCAGCTCCTTGACGTCTCCCACGCAGGCCTTCCCTCCGTGCTGGGGCTCGGGGCTGTTGCAGACGCGCGTCCGCTCCCGGATGCCCCCAGCGCAGCTGACCGAGCAGGCGGACCATGGGGACCAGGGGCTCCAGCGGCCGTCGACTGTGGGGAGAGGGCGGGACAGCATCAGGCGGGGTCCCCATCGTGGCGAGAAAAACTAGCAAGCGGCCCTTTCGTGACCCCAGACTGGCAGGGGTGGGGGGCAGTGTTGGCGGAATCGGCCAAATCTGTGGTTTGCTTCTATGTCTGGGAAGAAAAGTCACCCTGCTTTGGTGTCTAGAGGCTGAGGACTGGCAGCCAGGGGCTGCAGGTGGCATCTGTCACTCACACAAGAGGGTGTGTGACGGCGACATTCACTGTGAATGGTCCCCCTCCCCCATCGGGACAAACGGGTAACAAGTAGTGGAGGCGTCCACCCCGCACGCGCCTGGACGTGGGGACGGCCGTGCCCTGACCCGCTTTATTCAGGGCCACCTGCGGCTCCCCGTTCTGGTCACCCCGCGACGGCCGACTGATGGCAGCTCACACGCACGCGCAGGGCGGGACGCCCTCCACCGCCCAGGCCTGGGGCCCCGGCGGACTGGACGGGGGCGCAGCCCCGCCGGGCCCTGGTCCCCGCTGCCCCACAGCCGCCCGCCCGCCCGCCCGCCCCACTCACTCGGGCAGGGGACGCCCTGGCAGCCTTTCGTCTCGCGGCCACTGCCTTTGCAGCCCTTGCCCCCCATCTGGGGCACCGGCGAGTTGCAGAGGCGAATCCGGGTGATGTTGCCGGGCCCGCAGGTCACGGAGCAGGAGGACCACGGCGACCAGTGGCTCCAGCCGCCGTCCTGCCGGACTAGCGCGGGGGAGACGCAGGGCGTCAGGGTGGCCCGCCGGCTTGGGGCGCGCGCGTCCCCCGGGCCGGCGGGGGGCGGGGACGCGCCGGTGCTGCTGGGCAGAGCTGGCCGCCCCCCGAAAGGGCAGCGGGCAGCCGGCCCCCCCAACCCGAAGGCCCAGGGCAGGGGCGGCCGGACACTCACTGCGGCTGTCGCACCGGCCCAGGCTGCAGGCCCGCGTCTGGATGGACGGCCCTGGGCAGGCGTTGCTGGTGACGTCGCAGGACCGCCCCCTCTGCTGGGTGCCGGGCCCGCAGGTGGCCGAGCACTGGGTCCACTCTGCCCACGGGGACCAGCCCTCCTCGCCGTCCGCTGCTGGGCGGGAAGCACAGGCCCATCAGGCCTCCGCCCGGTGACGAGCCCCGGGGGCACAGGCGCGTGCCCTGGGGCAGGGGTGGCCTCTGACAGAGGACAACGCCCTGGTGGGGGCGCCGGCCCTGCAGGCAAACACCGGGCCCGGCCCGTCCTGGGCCTGACTCGGAGCAGCGGCCGGGGAAGGGGCGTGTGCGGGGCCGGCCTCCGTAGGGACGCGAGGCGACCAGACCCCGCGGACCCTTGGCCTGAGCGCCGGGCTCAGGGCGCCGCGTCACGTCCACACCAGGCTCTGTCGCAGGCGCTAAATTTTTAAAAACTTTTCTGTTGGCTGGCGGATACGTGGTAGTGAAAACTGTCACCTTTTAGTTGGAATTGCAGGACACTAATTTAGGTCCAAATAGTTTACACTGGGACAAGTTAAATGAAAAGGGAATATCCAGCAAAGAAACTTTTCAGGTAAAAATTTAGTCCCTACATAAGAGAAAAGAAGGTGACTTAATGGGAAGCTCGTTCTGGTAAACACGACATACCCGTCCTGACCAGAAATGTGAGGATGGAAAACAGTGACCAACAGGCCAGGACGTTTTGGAGCTGACGGAGCAACAGGACCTGCGGTGTCCACGGCGTGGGGCGGGGCCGGGGGCGGGGCCGGGGGTGGGGCCGGAGGTGCCGGCACCAGGAGGCGGGCTTGGCGGCGGGGGGGCGCCCCCTGGGGAGGTCGGGGCCTCCCGCTGCAGGGACCGGGAACTGAGGGAGCCCGCTCCTCTTGTCCCCACCTAAGGGTCCCTTCCTCAGAGCACGTGTCTATCACTAGGATACAGGTCTTCGGCTTTTCCTTGTTTTATTTTGAATTATCTCTTCTCCAAAAGGCGGCTGCAAGGATTGCCTGTCGCCCCGGCAACACACCCAGAGCTGCCAGCTCACAGGCGCTGCACTCGCGGAGTGAACATCGGGGCTCTGTGCCCGGTGGGTCTGGGGCTCTAGCTCCCAGCAAGAGAGGACCAGCCCTCGCCCCAAACTGGAGGGCTCGCAGACGCTCGCTGGCTCCTGACCAGGGAGCGTGTGGCCAGGCGTGGGACCCCGCGCAGGCGCGGCCTGGCCTCGCCCTCCCTGAGGACACCACCAGGGCCGGGCAGGCGAGAGGGACACCAGCGGGACTCCGCGGCCGCGCCGGCGCGGCGGCACTTACGGGGGAAGCAGGACGGGCAGCAGTCCCCCTCCAGCAGGGAGGGGCTGGCGCAGGTGGCTGGCGGGCAGGAGATCTGGTGGCAGACGGTCTTAAACTTCTGTAAGGAAAGGCACTCATGTGACACTTGCGTGAATACCAGCCTCCGCACCAGGCGGCACTGAAAGCGTCCCCGGCAACCTGTGCCCGCAGACCTGACGGCCGCGAGGGCCCGAGTCGATCCAGTCCTGGGTGCGCAGAGCCGGCCCCCTGCGCCTGTCCCCCGCCCCCCACCTACTCCCCCGCCCCCGGCCTTCCCTGCGGCGGGTGGGCTGAAGGGATGGCAGTGTCTGAGGCCACCAGGACAGCAGTGTCCAAACGATGGGAACTGTGGCGGAGAAGCTGAGTGAGCCTCTGGCCGGGCTGTGGGCAGGGACGGGCCATCCCCAGGTGCCTCTGCGGAGCCCCGCGGCCCCCACAGAGCTGCGTGGACCTAAGCACAGGCCACAGGGACACCTGGCGGCCCCGTCCCCGCTGCCTGTGGCCACCTGCTGACATCGGCCTGACCACTTTCCCCCCCGGGACCTCGGTTTCATTACGCACAAAGCAGCGCGGCCGGCCACAGCCTTATTTGCAGCCGACTCTCCGGGGCGCTGGCTCTCGCCGCCCGCATGCCCCGGTCAGCCGAGGACTGCAGGCCCGGCCGTGCCCCGTGCCAGGAGCGCGTGGGGCTGGGGAAGGCGGCCCACCTTGCAGGTGCACTTGGTGCAGCTGTCGACCACCCAGGTCTCGTTTTCCGCGAAGAAGCGGCCGTCCTGCCAGCAGGCAGACATGTTCCTGGTCTTCGGGGGTCCGCCAATGAGCTCCCAGAGAACCTGGTTGTCGCTGGACTGGAAGACGCGGGCGGAGTCTGAGGGCAGGCGGGGGTGCCCGGCGCTCGGCGCTCAGCCCTTGAGCTCGCACAATGCGGGCGGCGCCCGCCCACAGCTCCGACCACGCAGGCGGGCCCGGCCTGGGGAACAACGGGGTGGACATGCAGCCCGCAAGGGGGCAGGGTGCGAAGTCCCCTCCGCAGGCCGGCTCACAGCCGGGGCCGAGCCAGACGGCGGGCCCCACAGACATCCCTGCCCCACGGCCGCTGCGCTCGCCCGTGGGCTCTGTCTGGCACGCGCGCCCCGCGGGCAGCCTGTGCGTGTCCCGGCCCCCACCTCACCCATGCTCATGGTGGAAGATTCCAGAAGGGGCCTTGGGTGCTCCCCCGTCACTGCCCTGGCCGTGGCCCCTCGCGCCCCTCGCTGCGCTCACTCCCTTGACCTCCCACGGCCCATCCCTCCCGGGCCGTCAGAGCAGGCCCAGGACCCTTTGCTGTGGGCCACTTTGCTGTCTCCGCACAGGACGGGAAGGGCCACACGTTGCTCCCCGCCTCTTCCCTCACGTCCCCTGGGCCCCCCGCTGCCCTCGCGTCCTTGGGCCTGAGCTCGGCGGGCATGTGGACGGCCGCGTGAGACACTGCGTTGCTGCCGGCCACCTGTCTCCACCTGGAGCCTCAAATTCTCAAGCCCTCGGGACGCTTTCCTCTTCCCTGATGCGCAGGGTGCACACCTGGGGGACCCACGCCCTCCGTGCAGGGACGGGCCTGCTTGTCAAGCCTCTGTGGCCCTTCCTCCCCACACGTCAGCCTCTAAGTGAAACTGTCAACCTCTGAACAAATCCAAGTCCTTTGTATTTATTGGGGAGACGAATGTCCCAGGTTGAAAGCCCATTTTGGAGAATATGTGGCCCAGGACTCTGTTTTTTATCCTGACCCCGAGGTGTGTCTGTCCGGCGTCCTGAACTATACTGTGTTCTAGCCGAACGTCCCCGAGGGGCCCGGCCCGGCCCAGGCCCGCGGAGCCTGGCGGTGGACACAGGGGCGGGGGGGACGCCCCGGGCCCGCGCGCCTGACACCCACCACTTTCCTCAGGTTCTCGTGCAGCTGGTTGACGACGACCCGCAGCCCCGACAGCTCGCTGGCCATGCTGCCCAGCTCCTCGCAGGAGCGCTCACACACCCCCGGCCGCGGCTCTGCGCTCCGGCCCGCGAATTCGGTGGTGACCACGGGGCTCAGGTGCAGTGTGTCCGTGTCCTCGCTGATGGCGTTGGCTTCGGCTGAGGGGACACACACAGAGCCGGGTTGGACAGGCCTAGGCCGCACGACGGTGCTCAGGGTCCTCACGCCGCCACCCCCCCCCCCGGGCACCGGGAGCGCCAGGCGGACGTTCGGTCTGCGGGTTTCGCTGGGGGCCGCCCCTCCTGGGACCCTGCTCGGGCTCAGCGCTGCGCCCCCCGCCCGCCTGCTGCACAGCCACGTGCTGGCGGCCTCCGGGCCTGCACAGGCGCCCGGGCCGAGCTCAGCCAGGGCGGCCCGGCCCCCGTGTCCCCTCGCACGGCAGCTTCCTGGTCTCCCACCGCGCACTCTCCACACATCTGAGGGCCCCCGACTCCTCGTCCACCCGCTTGTCCGTCTGACACATGGTTTCCTCTGCCTGCCTTTCTGCATTAAGCGGCTTCTGCGGCCCTTGTGCTGAGTAAGCGGCATCCTCGGGACGTCGCCCCTTGCCCGGGACACGCACATGGTTTCTCTGCTGTGACCCTGCACAGGGCTGGGCAGACCCCGCAGGATCCAGCCCAGGGGACGGTCCTCTCTGCCCAGGAGTCCTCGTCCTGGGCTCCTGTGGCCGGGACCCAAAGGCGGCCCCCGTGGGGCAGAAGCAGGAGCCATCCCTGGGCTCAGCAGGCGAGGCTGCGCCCGGGGTGGGGGTTGGTCGGCCCCTTGGCCGCTGCCCTGTCTTCAGCGCCCGTCCCTCGCACCTCCCATCACGGAGCCACGACTGGCAGACGCTGCAGGGCCGTGGGGACGGCTGTGGCGCGGGGCCCTCCCGCGGCCGCCACCCCGCCGTGCAGCGCACGCCCTGTCCCACGCCCTCCTGGCACCGCCGGCCCCGTTGGTGGCAGCTGCGATATCAGACAGACACTAACGCGCCGTCGGCAGGCGGCCTCTGAGGCCTCGCGCAGGGCTGTGCCTGCCTCAGCACCACCCGCGCCGGAGCGGGGCACAGCGGGCCGCCTCCACCCTCCCTCCCCCGAGGGTCACGGTCTCCCTGTCCCTTTCTGCCACAGCGCGGTGCCTGCTGGGCAGAGCGGGCCGCTTCCAAGCCTGATCAGCTTCATTCAACACCAGCGGCCCCGGCCCAGAGGGATGGGTGCTGCTTGTCACTTTGCTGTCTTAGCTTTTCAGAGTTTTTGCCTTTCTAATGCCTGCGCCCCTAAAAAGACAATGGCTTAATTCACGTTCAGGGGCTCACGGCAGGCGGGGGGGAACCTCATGCACCTCAGCGGCCTATGTGTGGGGTGAGCAGCCGGCACACTCCCGGCTCACACCGGTGTCCACAGGATGCGCTGCAGGGAGAGGCTGGGGGAGCCGCCCTCACAGAGTAAAAGCTCGGGAAGCGCCGGCAGCGGGGGCTGGACAGAAACTCAGTGCGTGGGCCACGGGGCTGGGGCACCGGCGGCAGGGGCCCCGGGGGCGGGCCCTGCGATCTGCGACCGTCGCCCGTCAGAGGGGTCCTCCCGTTAACAGGCCGGGAGCTTCACAGACGTTTTATGTTGCGTTAAGTGCCAGCGACCCATTTTGGGGGGCTTGTAAAGGGACTACTTTGGATTATTAACACTTACTCAAAATTAGTCCTGTCAACGTATGATGTTAGGATGGCGACCTAAGATGACCCGCTAACGTTATTCAAATGCAGGGTCAGGCACAAATAACGCCCCTCCTTTATTACACAGAAATCTTTTATTACAAAATCATAAGCCTGGAATCCCATAACGTAACACCGTCGCGCTCGGGCGCGCCATGGGGCCTCCGAGGCGGGACGTTCCCACGGCCGTCCCTGTCGTGCGGGACGTCCCGTGCCCTCCCAACCACGCTCGACGGCGCTACTTCTGCCGGAAGCTGTTTTTATTTAAATTCTCATCAGCCCCCGTTCACTCGCAGTCACATGCACACGCGCAGCAGAAATCCATCCAAAGCAGCAAACACACTCTTCAAAACACACCTACCTCCCAGGTCTTGCTGACAACCTTTCCTGCTAAGAACGTCTTCCACAGAATTTTCAAACACCAAGTAGATGTTCTGCAGCAGGCCCTGCAGGGGAACCGGGAGAGAGGCGGGGCCGTGAGCAAACCCCGCACGTCCGAGGCTGGGCTCAGAGAGCCAAGCAAGACACATGATGCGAACTGGAGGCAGGAGCGCGTTCTCTGCCGCCACGCGCGGCAGGCGCCTCCCCGCCCGTGCCGCCTGCGGGGCGGCCTGAGGCCGGGCCAGACCATGGCATTGACCTACGGAGCAGGCGCCCCGCGGGGACCGGCGGGGCCTGGGCGGACAGGTAACCGTGCCTCCCGAAACCTTCCGGGCTACTCGTCCCGCACAGGGACCCGATGGTGTTGCGCCTGGCAAAGGTCTCAGAAGCCGAAACCACGGCTGGTACAACCGCGGGTACAACCACGGGCGCGGCGATGGGAGGGGAGTGTCTCCCGCCCCCCGGATGCTCAGCGACCCGTCCCAGTGGGGGCCACGGGGGCTCCCTCAGCCTTCACCCTAACCCTGGCCACCGGAGAGCAGCTCTGGCACGAGTCACGCGTCTGCACGCCTTTCACTGCAATAACTGAGCCTGAACCCACACTCGTTCCCAAAGACGATGCGGGTACCTGGACGGAACAATGCGCTGACCCCAGCCTGGGCCGTACACGCCTGCGGCTTTAAAAAGATTCTCATCCAGAGGATGTTTTAACGAAGATGCACGTGAAACTATCAGCAGCCTTTCCTCAGAAACACAGGGCTGTCCCGGTGTTGCCGCACCCTTTCAGTGACAGGACAGGATTTGGGAGGGAGCGGGGCCAGCCGCCCCGGCGTTGGCAGCAGGCAAACAGACAAGCTCCCCGGTCACCAAGGCCACCTTCCTCCCAAAAAGTCAGGGCCGCCCTGGGAGCCTGCAACAACATGCTCTGCCTACTCCTGGTGCTGCATGTGCTGTGCGCGCGCATGCGTGTATGCATGCGTGTGCCTGAAGAATGCCGGTGTGTGAGTACGCGTGCGTGTGGCGTTTGTGCACGTGCCTGACCGGGCAGCACCGTGCAGTGTGAGTGTGCATGCATGGGTGTGGTGTCCGTGTGTGCACATGGGGCACGCACAGCACACACGTGGCATTTGTGGGTGCAGGCATGTCCGTGCATGTTCTGGACCCCCTGCCGCCGCCTCGCTCAGCCCCGCAGCGCCCCCCCCACCCCGTACGCACCCTGAAATGACTCTCGCGGGCGGAGCCCTTGGCCACGTACATCTTGCTCTTCTCTGTCTTCAGCTGCTCATAGAACGGCTCGTCCAGCATGAAGCTGTCCACCAGGTCGCAGCCCACGTACAGGCTGAAGGTCTCACCGGCTACCTGCACGGTGATGTTCTTCCACTGGGCATCGGCCAGGCCCACATCCTCCAGGGACAGGACGTGCTGGGCGCCGTCCACCCAGTAGGTGAGGTCCAGTGTGTCGGCCGGCCCGTTGGAGACGATCTCGAACTGCCGGTGGGCGGCGCCGGGGCCCTCCAGGGCGAGCAGCGTGCCGCGGGACTTGCGGTCCTGCTTCAGGGCGGCCGACAGGAAGAAGCCCTCCTTCTCCCGCATGAGCTGGGCGATCTGGCCCAGCGACTCCGCGCTCACCGGGGGGATGTAGTCGAACCGCACGAAGCGGTACGCCGGCCTGTGGGGGTCGGGCCCCCGGAACTGCTTGGCCCCGATGGTCTTCCGGTTGATGTTGCTGACGCTGAAAAGGTCGAAGGCCATGTCCTCGTCCTGACCGCCAGCTGCCCAGGGGTGCAGAGGAGGGGTTACGGCAGGCAGGCGCGGGGCCCGCGGGGACGCTCTCACCGAGGGCGGCCGGCACGCCTTCACGTGCCAGACAGTGGACGAGGCCGCTGGGCGTCCTTCCCTTCCCGCCGGCACAGAGCCAGAGCCCTTGCTGCAAATCCACTCTGCCCTCCCCCGACTGCAGCTTGGGGGCGGGGGTGGTGCCCGAAGCAGAGCCAGTGGTCTCCTGCCACTCTGCTCAGCTCAGCTGACCCCTTCCCTGTGAGGCTTCCCCAGGAAGGAGGTGGGCCCCCGTTCCCCCCGGACACTCGCGCCGGCCCTTGGCCGCAGCCAGACCCTGCGCACCCCTTGCAACTCCCAGTCTTGCCCCCCAGACCTGGGCGTCCGTGCACCCCTCGCCCCTGAGTGACCGCCCAGAAAAAATCTGAGAAGAGAAACGCGCCCTCGCCTGTGCCCCTGAAGGGAGCAGCCGGATCTCTCGGGGCGGAAATCAGCGGTAAAGGGCATCGGCCCCGCTTCACTCTGTAGAAAAGCGTCCCCGCGCCTGCCGCACACCCTCCGGGCAAGCACCGGAGACGGCGGCGGGCCTCCACGCCTGCAACGCGGAGTTTCCGGTCGCCATTTGGAAAGAAAAGCTATCAGACCTACCAACATTGTGACAGTTCCAATAATTCAAGATAATTTACAGACCAGCTAGTTTAAACGAAGTCTAACCTGGCTCCTGAGACTCGGTAAACCAAAATGTCGCCATAGCCAGGGCTGCCGAGAGAAGCGTGAGCTGTACTACCTTCAACAGAGCATTCTGGTGATAGGTCCAAAATCCTTTAAGTAATTAAAACCTTTGGCTCAATTTTACTCCTGGAATTTGTGCTCAGGTATAATCGGAAATGCCAGTGAAGATTTAATTTATGAAGGTGTTCCTTGTGGCATCGTTTAGACTAGTAAAAATAAAGTAATAATGTAGGTGGGAATTGGCCAGAAAAATAGAGTTATCTTCTGATAGAGCATTATGCAGTCATTAAAAAGTATGCCCTAAAAGAAGAGAGACAAAGAAAAATATCTATGACGCATTTTTGAGTAGGAAATAAGGTGGAATGAAAAGAAGTTACAGAACACCCGACACTCCGAACGTCGCAAACGCAGGACGTGGAGCAACAGGGCGGGAATGTGCCCACCAAAAAATGTATCTCCAGGTGGAATGGAAAGGTGTTTTTCCTCTAATGCCTGAATGTTCCCCAAACAAATCATTTCTTTTTCTACGGACTCAAGAGTAAACAGGTATTGATCAAAATGAAGTTAACAGGGCTCTGAGAGGCCAGCCCCCAGCCATAAACTGCACGATGTCCACCCCTCGTCCCCGTCGCGACCCTGCCCGCGCCCGCCGGCCCCCACTCACCCTGCGCGCGGCAGGAGGCCCAGAGGGCCGGCAGGACCAGTGTCCAGAGCATACTGCCTTGGCCCGGCCGCGGGCGGGCGGTCAGAGCCTGTCCGTGCCGAGCACACGCAGCCTTCAGGGCAGACAGGAATTCCCGCTGCGTTGTGGCCACTGAAAAGAAGTTTATATTTAAAAGCCAGAAGAAACAGATCCGTGGCAATGAAAAGCTTGACAAGAAATGTGCTCCTCAGTTGCCATTCTTCCAGCGTAGCTAGTGCTGCCGACCAGCTCCGCACGAGTCCCCTGCAAGCGTCCGAGGACCCTGGAGGGTGATACTGTCACCACAGCCAGCATCTCCTGTTTACAGGGTGAGGGGGGACGGGGAGCAGGGAGCAGGGCGGTGGCAGAGGGAAGTGCCCCGCGGGGACTGGGACCGGAGCCCTTGGGGAAGGGCAGCGGGGATGGGGGCGCTGATCCAGGAGGCTGCGGTGTGTAGACGGCCCAGGAAAAAAAAGAGTTGCCCATAAATGAAATAGAGTAAACGTTAACTGCATATTTAGTTAGAAATGAACTTAATTTGGAGAATCCTAATTACAAAAAATAACGCATCCTACTTAGCCTGCTTAGGCTTTCGCTTGCCTGGCGCCTTTCCAACAGGCCTGTTTTTCTGTTCCTGGGGATTTTCAGTTGGCTCAGCAGAGCCCCGGCCAGAAGTCTGGGGACCTGGCCGGCTTGGCGTTAACCCCTGCGGGGCCTCCTTGCGGGTCGGGCTCCCTGGGCCCAGCTCCTCCCTGCTCAGGATCTGAAAGCGCGTCCGAGGCTGGGGCAAGAAAGTCCAGGGAGCCCGCCTCTCCAGGGGCGTCTGCTAAAGCAGCAGAGTGCCCACCGTAGCACGGAGCAGCGCCCCAGGGGGCCAGGAGCCCCCCCAGGGCCCCGGGTCCCTCTGGAGCCCAGGTGCCTGCTTCACGCCACCTGCCCCCAGAGGGGTCTGAGAACTGACCCTTGGCAGCCGCCTGGGGGGCGGGGAGGGGTGCGTCCAGGTGAGCCCAGACCTGAGACCGCAGCGCCCACCCCCTGGCTCTGTGCGGCCTCCCGGCTGTGGCAGGCGCCAAGCCCTTCGCTGCGCCCACCTCAGGGGGCAGCGAGGACCAGATGGAGCCGGTCAGTGCTTAGAGGGCTCGTCCAGTGCAGCATCACACGGGCTCGGTCACGCGCGCTGGGCAGGGCCCCCGTCCAGAAGGCTCCCAGCTGGCTCCCCGTGGGGTGGCCGTGACAGATGATGTCAGCAGGGTTCTTAGGAGGACGGGGTTGGGGGGGGGCGGGGGGCAAGGAAACACTTGGGTCCCGGCTCCCTCGGCGAGCTCCGCAGCTGTGGTCCCCGCAGCCCGGGCCCCCCTGCGCCTGGCACGCCCGCCGGACAGGCTCCTCTGCGCCCTGTGGGCAGCAGGCGAGGCTCAGTCTGGCAAAGACAGCCTCCGCCCAAAACGTGAATTTTCAGTCCCCGCTAGGCTTCAGCTGGGTGAGCGGACTCTGTTCTGGCCACGTCACACCCTTGTGCTTCCTGAGAGAGAAGTGTCTGGCGCCCCTCGCTGCCACGCGCCAAGTGAGCAGGAGGGTCCCGTCCAACTCGGGATCGGCCGCACAGCCTCGCCGCGTCCCGTGTTGTCTGGCTGCAGGGCCCGTCACACGTGTGACCTAATGAATGCCACACGCACACGCCACACCACTCACTCACAGTGCTCAGGGTGCGGGTGTTGCCAAAGGAGATTTTTCCAAAGACTTTTCTGCCACTGAATGTCATTAGAGCGTCTAGAGGTCTTTTAAAATTCTTTTTGTATCAGGCATCACAGCAAAAATAACTTTCTGACAGAGAACTGCCTCCTCCACTGAGCCCCTGGCCAGGAGGGGAGGGAGCCGGCAGTGGTCCTTGCAAATCCTTGCATATGCTAATCCCCCCAGCCCAGCCCTAGCCCAGCCTTCCACATGCTAATCGCCCTCCCTGGGCACTTCCCCTGGACTCACTACTGACGACTGTTATTCCTTTATTATTATTTATTATCATTTATTATTTATTTCCAGCTATCTGTAATGTTTAGCGTCGGAGTCTCTAACCTCTCCGACTAGTTTCTCAAATTCTCAGGAATTTCTTTTCCTAATTCCTTCATCAGGGCTCCCCTGAATAACAAACTTTAATGTGCAAACCTCAGTGGCTGAACTCGTAAGCATCTGCCAGGGTCCCCAGGCAGGGACCTTCGCGGCAGGACACTCCGTGAGTGGGACGCAGGAGCCCGGGGTGGGCTGGCATCCCCTCCGCTCCGGGCACACACGCCCGGCAGGGAGCAGAGCCCTGTGTGGCTGTCACAGGCCCGGGGCGGCCTTCCGTCATAAAGCCACATCCACGTTTCCCTTCTCCCTTCTTAGAAATCAGAAGAGACTGACTTGTCCGAAAATTAAACTACAATGGAACGATTTGGTAGAGTTTAAAAGGAAAATAAAAGTCTTACCAGTCAGCGAGAAAGCTGCGGTGCTGGGCTGGAGTCGGGGGCGGTGAGCCCGGCGTGGGGTGGGCCGGGGGTGCTGAGGGTCCCCTGCAGGCGGGCGGGCGGGCGGGCGGCTGGCGGGCGCACTGGCTGCAGGCAGCGGCCGCAGCTTTATATGCTCCTGTCTCCAGCGCTTAATTCATTCCCTCGAAGGAATGACATAATCCCTCCTCCTCGCTGGAGGACCACAGAGGAGGAGCCAGACGGAGGAAAATCGCTTTTCTTCTCTCAGGAAATAAATGCTATAAATAAAACCGGCAAGAGAAAGAATGCAAGTTCTCCACGGAAACCGTGCCTCTGCTGCCTGAGACGAGGTGGCCGTTCCAACCGGAGCAACAGGCCCAGGGGATACAAGGGGGCAAAGGGTGCACACAGCCGGCCTGCAGCCGACGACGTGACTACGCGGATGAGTTTATTTATCCCGTGCAAAAAACAGTATTTAATCCAAGAACAAGTGGACACGTTTCCGTCCCTGCGGCTGAACGACTGAGGAGCAGGCTGGGGGCACCCACTAGCGTCCAACCCACCCTCCTTTACTCAGTCCGGCCTCTCCCTCTGGGCGCCCTGACCAGACAGGTCCGTGGGCCCCACTGTGAGGGGCACCAGCAGCCGGTAGGCACTTGGCTCCACGGGCAGAGCGGGCAGCCTGGTGTGGCCGCGCAGAAAAATGCTGGGCCCTCAGCAAGGGGCCAGCGGCCAGGCTCCGGCCCTGCCCAGGCCCCCGCGGAGCAGGACCGGGCGGACAGAGGGCGGGCACGCAGGTCAGGGCGCCGGTCAGGGCTGTGTCCGGCGTGTGTGTGGCGCGCCCTCAGCCGGCCTGGGACCGGGCCCTGCGGCCACGCGAGGCCCTGGGCGCCTGTCACTCCCCGCCTCTGGCCCGGGCCCGGCGGCTGCCTGGGCTGGAGGCGCTGCCCCTGCCGGGGAGCGGGGGAGGGCCCTCGTTTCCTGTTCCCCGTCGAAAGCCTTTTTCTACGGGAACCGTCAATGGATGACCTCGTAGAAGGTACCAGGTTCTGGTGACAGAGAAGCTTGACTCAGAGGAAGCGCGTCTTCCCTTCAGTCAGCCAGTCGGTGGTAAAGT